GAGTAACACTAGCTCGCGCTATTACCATTCAACTGTACCCTTACTAGATTCTGTACGTGTGTTTCTTTAAAGGAACTGAAATAGCACACGTTACCTGTTTACCAAGAAAACAAATATTATGTCTACAAACATTTTGTTTGATTGTTTGAAGTTAAGTATAAAGCTACACAAAGGGCTATCTGTGCTCTGGCCTCCACGGGTATCGAAACCCGGTTTCTAGTGTTATAAGTCCGCAGACATACCGCTATGCCACTAGGAAGCTTTATATATAAAAACATATTAGCTTCATTAGATTAAACCCTTTTTTTGGACTTTGTTGTTCTATTTTCTCTTTAGCCTTCAAGAACGGATACCACCGCATATTTAAATAGCTATATATATGAAATGCAGTACGTTGTAGGAGGTGGATATTTGTTAGTAGTTTTCTGGAAGGCTAGATTTAAGTAAACATATATACAGAAAACCAAAAGCAAGTTTCTGAGTTGTTAAATACAAAATATATGAGAACATATAGATTAATACCCTTTCTATTTTGTGTCTAGATTTATTAGTTAATAAAGAAATATATAGACACATCTATATAAAACGAATTACACTTCAGTCTTTAATAACTGTTCTATTAAGATAAGTTTAAGTTCGAAGTTAAGTGACGATAATTTTTCAGTTTGTTTTCTCACATCTAATGCTGCTGTTGTAACAATTCACTACAATAACACAGGCCTGAGATGGTTTTATTTTCTTGAAATTTGTACATGTTCTACAGTAATTCCTGTACGCTGAATACGAAAATGATATACATTTTTATCCATCACGCATAGATTTTTCACCAAACGTCATAACGCATTACATAAAAGAAGGACCACAACACGTAGTTTTGAGACTAAAAGACTTAGATTTCACACACAAAAAAATCAGGACGAATGAGGTTGCATATTCGTTTGACATCAATGTTCTCCCCTTTTCTTTAGTTTGTTTGTATTTTTGTTAACAAACATAATAATAAAAAATGTTCATTGTGGTAAACGAAATAATAATTTCATCTAAGTGAGCGTTTTTTTCTTCCCGATTTCTAAAAAACTCCTTACGTGATAGAAAAAAAGGAATATTGTTTTTGAAATCTGCGTAGTTGAATTATAGAAAATCCGTTATTAAAACCAACACAACTTTTATGAAGTTTAAATCCGCAGGCCTGTGTCTTCTTAGTATAAAGATGATCCATTATGTATGTGTGTGTGTGTTAGCATCCATCACCCAGAGTTGATTCCCTCAATTTCTGTACTTTTTGGTATGGTGACTGGAAAGTGTCCGACGGTGTACATGGGCTGTTTTGTTCTAGGATTTTTACACGAGAAGGAGGATACAAAAATCCCTTGAAATAAGATACATATCCACTTTTTTTATATAGATTTGTGGGTTGCAAGACCCAAAGTTGGCTGGCTCAATTACCGTAATTTCTGGTCTAGTATCTGAAACATGTCTGACGGAGTAAAAGGGCTATCTTGTTTTAGGATTTTTGTCAGAGAAAGAAGATAAAACACATCCTGAAGTAAAGCACATTTCCACTTTTTTATGCACTTTTCGTTTTGAATTTAAAGACGAAAGTACTTAATTAGATTAAATAAGTAAATTAGTACCTTCCACAAAGAAGGATATGCAATCAGTATCTAATGAGGTTATTAGGGATTTAATAAGAAAGGAAAACATTATCTAACATTGTCCTTTATACACTTTATTTTTCCTTATCGGTAACTCTCAATTAGTGTATATAACAGCTACGGTGTTCAAAACATTAATGTTTATATTTCACTTTGATAATTAGGGAGCTTTGCATTATCTAGGAAGTGGAGATAATCAATATTCGTTATTATTACAAACAGAGCTTTTATAAGCTTCTCAATGCAAACTTTGTATCTGTAAAGCTTGACAGTCCACCCAAGATATGTCGTCACTAGCAGTAGTCTGCACTAGTATTTTTTATGTTTCAACGAAGTGTCGAAATTCAACCATTCTTATCAACCGAAAACTAGAGAGTTAACCCCTAACTACTGCTAGTAAGATTAGTTTTAACTTGTCAACCTACAAGATCACAAATGTAGTAAAATTGCGTTTAACAATAATTATTTTCTACTGACGTCAATCGATCCATAAAATTGTGTACCTGTTCAGCACAAACAAGCATGTAAAAATTATAATTAATACATATACAATATTACCTACTTCCCAGGAAAAGATCTATTAATGAAGGTTTTTCACAAAACAAATATATCGAATAACGCTACAAAACATGAAGTTGATAAATAAAACGTATACACACGTATATGAACTAAAGTAATCTGATAAAAGCTGTTAATGATTGTAAAAAAAAAATAACTACTTGAACTTGTCCGCTCTGTTGTTTCTTTATAACTTCTTATCTAAAACCCATTATAAAATGTGTTAGGCTTCGTTACCTGCTTTGTGAGGAGAACGCTGTATTAATACTGGCAAACATGATAACATAGACAAATAAATTAAGGTAATTCAAAACTTATAACAAACTCATAGTTTGAGAAGAAACTGAAACACGTAATTCTGTTTACAATTTACTCTTATATCATGGCCGGGCGTGGCCAAGTTGTTAACGTTCAAGACTTTGAATCCGAAGGTTCATGCTAAGCTACCCGTTGTCACGGTCAATTCCAGTTTGTTGAGCTGCAACATAATAAAGTACATCATGATCTCCTGGCTAGATAATTACTGATTAATTCAAAACATATACAAACAGAAAGTGGCAACAGGTACATTTATTCTTGTTTAACTTGTGGCCTTATTCTTCAATAATACACAAACACACATGTCGGATATATAAGAGTTTGATTTGTTCTGATATTTTCACACAGCTATTCTAGGACTATGTCCGCTAGTCGTCCCTAATTTTGAACTGATGGGCTACTTTAATCGAATAGTGGAATTTGGCCGTCACTCTTATAACACACCCATGGCTCCAAAGGGTAGAACGCGAGTATTATTATATTTTTGCACAGATAAAATTTAAAATTTTAAGGCCTGTCCACGTAGCCCATATGGCACCGTTCAGCGTGAAAATAATCAAATACTAGTTAACTATCTCTCTGTCTGTCCGTCCATCCACCTGTCTTACAAAACGAATAAATGCCTACTCGTATGTAAAATTATCAACATCTTAAAACCAACTTATTTCACATCACGTTCTACAATTGCACTAAGGTTTCTTGATTAAAATAGCTAATCAGCAAAGGTTATATAAAAGAAATTAGTATGAGAGACTTTAAGAATAATCAAAACAGATAAAACTGAAACCTTTTAAATGGTAATTTTTTCACTTTTCTACACAAAATCTTTAAATTAATTCTGAACGGTGCACTAATACTTTTTTGTTCAAGCATCAGTAATGTCGTTTACTTGGTGAACTACTAAGAAAGTTTTGTTCTTAAAATTAACAAGTTTCAGTTGTATTTTAACGTCCTTACAACTTGTTATTACGCAATTTGTAAGCTACGATTTATGAGCACTTAGGTCTATAGAATAGAACTGGTCTTTTCCTAGTAATACCCTGCCAGAAGGATAGAAGTTATGAGCTCTTAGGTTTATAGAGTAGAATTGGTCTTTTCTTAGTAATACCCTGTCAAAAAGCTAGAATTTATGAGCACTTAGATTTATAGAGTAGAATTGGTCTTTACCTAGTAATACCCTGTCAGAAGGATAGAATTTATGAGCTCTTATGTTTATAGAGTAGAACTGGTCTTTATCTAATAATACCCTGTCATTCAGCAATACTATTAGGGGGAAAAAATCTGGTCATAACATATCAATCAATGATTTTATCAGCATTGAACTTCATATAAAAAATTCTTCTTATTGCAAAGAATATCTTTCTAACTAAAACTGTTTTAATAATTTTAGTAATCTGTAATTTATGTATTACAAACTGCGATTGATGTATCAGCATTTATTTTATGTTTGTATTTTTTAATGTTTTCTATATTGTTTAGTAAGTTTAATGCTTTGATTGTTTAATTCATGGTTTATGTGTTAACTACATGTTGCTCGTTCCTTCTCAGTGTTTTCTAAGCTTCATATTTTCCAATATCATTACGGACTTTATCTTATTTGCACTTATGTATCAGTACATCATATTTTCAGACTTCGCTGATGATGGAATAAGTACATTCTGGAAGTTCGGTTGAATCGTGAAATTTATATATATATATATATATATGCACGTGCGTGTGTTTCATTATTATCTCAACCGTGGGCCAAGCATGGACTGTTGACAAGGGCGCTCGACTCGCAATCTGCGGTCGCGAGTTCCAGTCCCCGTCACACCGAACATGCTCGCCCTTTCAGCCGTGTGGGAGTTATAATGTGACGGTCAATCACATTATTCGTTCGTGAAATAGTCCAAGAGTTGGCGGTTGGTGGTGTTGATTAGCTGCTTTCCCTCTAGTCTATCCCTGATAAATTAGGGACGGCTAGCGTAGATAACCCTCGTGTAACTTTTGCACGAAATTCAAAACATCCAAACCAAACTCTCAACCGCTTTTGTCTTCATAAGACATATAATTTTCATAAATTGTCAACAGATGGCGATAGCTCTGACTTGTATCCCATAACACGAGAACGTTGAAATAGATTCATTACATTGCAGTTACAACACATTGAAAATTTACTGATTTTGTTTGAAGATTCACTGTGGATTTTTGTTTTGGTTTTAGCGCTTTACTATCTGTAAAGTGTGTAAATGTACCCTTTAAAATGTGAAAAAATGTAATCATTTAGTATTTAAATTTGTGAAGTATAGCATTTGAACAACATAAAGTACTTTGTTAACTTATAGCATAGGTGATGATAAAAATCAGAATTACATATCACTTAATTAATAGTTTTCATCCAATATTTTGATAATTAATTAGCAATATTCATTGTAGAACAATTTATCTTTATAAAAAACAAATACAATTTTAAATCTAATAAATTCTTACCTGCTTTATCGAGCATCATTCGACTTTCTGCCAAAGTCACATTACGACCTCTCTCCGTATAATTATCAGTTTTTTTAGTGACAGATGGTACTGGAATACAGGTAGCATTATCTCTGAGGCCTGAATGTTCGGAAATACTAGTAAAAGAGGTTCTTGAAGGTGTTGGCAATCTTAAGTTAAAAGAAACAAAACATTAGGAGACTTTAGAGAAGCCTTCACAGCAGTGAACTTTACTTATTCTAATATTCCTGCACAAATCTATTTTTTTATTTTTGAATTGTATTTCTAAGTATTCTTTATTATATATATCTTTTATAATGTTATCTCCAAGGCATTCTCTGTTATTTATAAAATACTTTGTTGTGTTGTTTTTACTACTTCCATTCAATAATTAATCAGGTTTTCTTTAACGTATTTTGTTTTGCTTATAAAGTGTCGTCATTTAAAACCTAGTCCGCTTTTTTCATTTTTCTTCTTTATTTAGAATTGTATATATTATTATTATAATTCAATTTGTTACTTAAAAGTTCTGAATTTTATTCCTAATATCTATATTTGAGGTGTTTTCAATCTCTAATATTTATATATCGAAAAGTTATTGAACGAACAATGAAACTACTTCGTTGTGATATCAGATCGTCCTATGGATTAAGTATGACTTAGAAGATCTTATGAGACAATAATATTTATCATCCGCTACCTGTAAGTTCAAACAACGGTGTCTTTTAATTTTTATATTTATTATGTTCTATATCTATTATTCATTTAAAAAGCAGTTGGTGATATCTTAAGAAAAATCATTTCAAATCTACATCAATATAATAGTACTGACTGTTCTATGTTCATGTAATTACTTCGCAGGGCGTCAATGGATCTTCACCAAAATTAGTATGGAGGTTCATGAGGGGGTACATAAAAATTTTCAGTTTTGCAATTTTCGTTTTGCGGTTTTTACCACTACTTCGCACCCTGTTGATGGACCTTCACCAATTTTGGCATGAAGGTTCATTGGATCTATGGGGAGATACATACAAATTTTCAGTTTTGCACTTTGCATTTTGCGGTTTTGATGAGAGTTTTTACGAGTTTTTTTTTTTTTTACCACACACTTCGCCCCCTGTTGATAGATCTTCGGCAAATTCAGCATGAAGGTTTGTTAGGTCCATGCGGAAATACATGCAAACTTGCGGTTTCACATTTCGTGTTTTGCTGTTTTCATGGGAGTTTTTGCGTTTTTTACAATTACATATAAGAGAAGTAACTTTTCATGTCCTAAGACAACCTTTCATTAATCATGAATTTACAAAACTTCAGTTAGTTAACAATATTTTTGTTAACCTGTTAAGTGAAATAGGATATTTTAAGAACAAACATAGAAAAGAGTAGGTTGTTGTAAGCACAGTTTTGCTCATAATTCTTGTAAAAATGAATCAATAATATACACGCTTTACTATTTTAAGTAAAATATATCTTAAACTATTGGTCTCTTTTCTCTGTCTCGTAAAAACGACCATATTTATACTCGAGTAATATTATTTCACACATTAAAAGAAATACCTAATACGCTGTTACATTATACGCACATTATTCTTATACATTATGCTATAATACTCTATTGTTTTCCATTACGTTAAACAACAATACACTACTTTAACAATAAGATATAGTAGACAACGCTAGATAACTGTTTTTTTTCCTTATGCTATACTACTCAACATATTTAATTAACTTATATTATGGTAATCTACATCAAACCACATTATTCATTATTTTTTTCATTATGCTACACCACACAATATTACACGATTATTTTACACTATTGTGCACAAAAAGAAAACATTGCAATGATTACACTATTATTACAGTACATGACAGGACACTTCACTGGGGTTTTACGTCATGCTACACTACCTACACAACACCAAGTTATTCTATTAAATTATATACAACACTACATTTTTCTTTTACATCATGCTACTCTACACAACACTTTATAATACTAGTACAATAGCCACATACATGGTACTCTGCAAACTTGACATTACAGAGGGTTGATAATACTTTAATACAAGACCGACTTGCATATTCTAAGACTGTAGCGTGTCGCCGCAAATGCGAGTCGTGGCGATATGTTTGGCACCTACAGTATATACTTGATTCATGGTCAACTTCCGACCATTGCACTAGACTAGAGGAAAGGCAGCTAGTCAGCAGCACCTACCGCCAACTCTTTGGCTACTCGTGTCTGACCGAATAGTGGGATCAGTCATTCTTACAGCACACCCACGTTTTCAAATTCAGAAGCGCGTTTTTGCTGCAACGGGCCATGAACTACGAACCTTTGTATTCGTAGTTTCAACACACTAACCACTAACCTCGCCAAGTTGGCAACGTTGTTTAACGATGTAAAGCTAAAATACAACATTTCGGACAAGAAAACCTATAATATTCTTCATAGAAACGACAAACTTCCCACGTCAGAGTCTTTAAGGCACCAATGGGCTTTGGAATTCCAAACAACACTCAAGTCAAAGTGAAAGCTATGGTTACAAAGGAGAATCTTACGATCTCCCCCAACTAAACAAAAAATACTACGATGAAGCCAAACATCTCTCCTGGTACCGTTTATAAGATAACAAACAGGATGTTCAAACTGAGGAAGACTCACAAACCAAACGTTCATAAGCTCTCGTCTACTTCTTGGAAGCAATGGCTGTTTCCTGGGACAAAAAAGGTCTGTCTAAATCTGTGACTTAAGATTGGCCTTACCTCCTCGGCAGAAGCTTGTTATAATAGATTACAAAAGAAACTGCAGTGTTAGTAGAAACCATCAGAATGTGAATAAACAACGACTGTGGAAGTAGTTCCATAGGCAGCAAAATACCTAAAATATGATTCTTATAATGTGCTACTAACCCCAGTATAATACCGTTATTCCTAACCAAACACCACGTTACACTATAACAGAGCATCTGACTTCACGACACTTCTTACACAACACTGCTTGACACTGTTAAACTGTGGTAAATTACATAACACTTCATTATAGTTCTAGTTTACACACAGTATTACATTACGCCGCACTATGTAACAATACGTGGTGACCATGCAACATGGTATATGTAATGCTATACCTGAAAACTGTTGAAATGGACAACCTCCCAGGAGAACTAGTGATTAGACGGTTTGAATAATGAAGAACATCCCAGGTGAACTAGTGATTAGACGACGTATTGAATAATGGACAACCTCCAAGGAGAATTAGTGATTAGACGACGTTTTAAATAATGGACAACCTCCCAGGAGAATTAGTGAGTAGACGACGTTTTAAATAATGGACAACGTCATCTTATCACTTGTTAACCTAGGAGGGTGTCCATTATTCAAAACGTCGCCTGATCACTAGTTCACCTGGAAGGTTCTCCATCATTCAAAATGTCGTCTAATCACTAATTCACCTGGCAAAGTTGTATATTCCGTCCATAATCATGCTTGGTTAAGATCTCTAATGTTCCGTAAGTTTCAGTTGATGACCCCAGTATTTTTTTCTATTGAACGAAACATTTTTCTTTTGAGAATCAACAAACAACAAAGTTAATTCAGAAAACATATTTCAGATATCAGAAATGATAGCCTGAAGGATATCCTGGGCTTTACTTCAACCTCTCCCGCTTTAAGCAAATCCAAAAAACAGCAGTAAATTCGGCAGTCAATCAGTCACAGCACACCGCCAGTCAAGCACAAACAAAAACGCTGGCTCCCTCCTCTAGTGGCGAAGAAATGCTTTCCAAGTAAGTCTTTCTCGAAAATCAGTTTAAATCTACGTTTATAATGATTTCAGTAACGTAACATTAACGTGTTTTATATTGTTGTTATTACAGTAAGAGGTGTGCGTAATAAATATATTAATTTTGTGGTGCGTGAACAAATTTTAACCTAAAAGTTCCCAAAAGAAGTCATTACTTTACAACTTTAACCAATTACAAATAAGTAGAATTATTTTGAAAGACATAATTAAGAGATAACGAACAGTTGGGAGTTATTGTGAAAGTGGAAACTTGTCTATATATTGATGTTATAATCGGTGGATCCTAGTCAAGTCTGGAAATACAAAAATTGATTTCAAACGTCGTGTAACCACTAGATCACTTGGTAAGTTGTCCATTATTCAATACGTCGTCTAATCACTAGTTCACCTGGGATGTTCTTCATTATTCAAAACATAGATCGTAACCAAGCATGATTATGGATGGAATATATAACACATAGATCTTAACCAAGCATGATTATGGACGGAATATATAACACATAGATCTTAACCAAGCATGATTATGGACGGAATATGTAACACATAGATCTTAACCAAGCATGATTATGGACCGTCCATAATCATGCTTGGTTAAGATCTATGTGTTGTATATTCCGTCCATAATCATGCTTGGTTAAGATCTATGTGTTATATATTTCGTCCATAATCATGCTTGGTTAAGAGCTATGTGTTATATATTCCGTCCATAATCATGCTTGGTAAGAGCTATGTGTTACATATTTAATATATAACACATAGATCTTAACCAAGCATGATTATGGACGGAATATGTAACACATAGATCTTAACCAAGCATGATTATGGACGGAATATGTAACATATAGATCTTAACCAGGCATGATTATGGACGGAATATATAACACATTCAACATTATGTAATATTTTTGAATACGTGGTAGATTGTGAAAATAATGTGCACGAGTTGTATACTATTATTAAGCAAAGATCATGACTATACTTCAAGGTAACATATAAAGTGATTCAATTACAAATCAATCCTGCCAAATTCCACGAATAATGTTATCAAAATTAATACAAAATAATTTTAAGCTATTCTTAAGACACTAGTTTAGGAAATCTAACTTACCTTGGACGGTAAGCTCCTCCACATTAACTCCCAAACTCTCAAGAAAGGTCAAACATGCTTGGATGTTATATTCTATAAACATGGGGTACATATCTTCAGTATATGTCTGTATATTGCCACATCATACTAAATATAGCACGTACATCAACAAATAAACTACAGGCATTTAATTTGTATTTCCGTATATTACCACATAAAACTAAATTTATACATTCGTTCTTATCATCATGAAATGTAATTATATTTAGCTGAGATGTATGCATGTCATCATGTATCTTAAAAGTATTTATTATATGTTTATACATTATAATAAAATACAAATAATTGACGTATGTCTGTATGTTGCTATTGAATATAAAGGTTATAACCCGCTGTTACTGTTGTTAAGACATGTTAATAAAGATAAAGAAAACCAGCAATACCTAAAACAATGATTAAATGAAACCCCTGCTTTTTTTACAGAACAACGTAACTGATATGGCTGAATAATGCAACATAACTAGTTGTATAATTGCATGATTTGGATGTGGCTGAACAATGCAACATAACTAGTTGTATAATTACATCACTTGGATATGGCTGAATAATGCAACATAACTAGTTGTATAATTACATGAATTGGATATGGCTGAATAATGCAACATAACTAATTGTATAATTACATAACTTGGATATGGCTGAATAATGCAACATAACTACTTGTATAATTGCATGATTTGGATGTGGCTGAACAATGCAACATAATTACTTGTATAATTGCATGATTTGGATGTGGCTGAACAATGCAACATAACTAGCTTCTATAATT